CGTATCGGCCGGTTCGAGCTGTCAACACGCTTTTGTACCCCCAGCCACAGACTTCTATTCAGCAAGCAAGGCAGTTTCCTATGGATCTGATGCACTACCAGCCGCTCAGCAAGGTGGTTACGGAACGCAGAACGGGCGTGCTCCCATACTACCCACAGCCTGATGGCTACCCGGATCAACTTTGTACATCAATCCGTCCCGCTCCTTGAATGCTTGTAAAAGGAGTCTGGGCGGACTTTTTCCAGAATTCTTAACCTAACAATTTCTTCGCCATTACCTTGTACAGCATTTTATCTTTGAATTCACCCTGAATTTGCATTTGGTGGAGTTAACTAGATCGGAAATTGGGTTGAAGCATTTTTCTTTTTATACCACATCAGTTATGCGATTATGACATTTTTTACTGGGAGGACATGGTTATTTTTGCAATAGGTGTTTCCAAGACCCGGGCTGTGAATTGCTATCTTTCCTTATCCATTCTTGTTTTATTGAAGCATTGAGACTGGTAAAATTACTGGAGGGCGAGTGTGAATTGGGACTTGCATGCATGATATGCTGTGTGAATTAGATCTATCAAGTTTGCTAATGTGATACTGTCTATAAATTGTGTGAGGCCTTCGTTCGTATTTTGTGGCTAGCTGTGACCCCGTCCAAGAATCATTTTCACTGAGAGCTGTTGGCCTGTGGTAACGCAGGTATGTGTGCAGGGTGGGTTTCAAAACTGGAGTGACACTGCAAAAATCATGCACTGAGTATGGATGGGCTGAATGTCATTCGAGCTCCAGGCAGTGGCATATTGGGAATTGGGGTGGCAGGTGAGGAATTCAGGGGGACTCGCTTATATAAGCTAACTAGTCAAGTCACGTGGGTGCTACAGTCGGGCCGTGGTAGATCCGGGGCAATGCCGAGGCAACATGCAGGATGAGAGGATATCAGGAGTGATGGGCGTGCAGATTTCAGGCCGTTTTGAACTGGGCTGTGGATTTGGGGAAGAACTGCTGCGGTGCGGTGGGTGCTGGCTTTTGCGGGGGTACTGAAAATAATTCAAAATATGCATCGGCTAGGGGAGCGAGTTGAGCCCAGAGATCTTGTTGAAGGAAATGAACACGGAGAGAGAGAGAGAGAGGCCCGAGCATGCCACGGCGACGGTAGCGGGCGGCGGATGCGCCTTTTGGGGCGGGAACTCTGAGCGGGAAAGGAGGACGTGATATTACCCGATGGAATTTTTCCTTTTTCTTCTATCCTCCCTCCCCTCTCTCTCTCTCTCTCCCCTTTTTACCCTCTTATGTACGTCTCAGCAGCTCATCCGTCACCAACATGGCGCCCGCGGCGGAATCCTCCTACCCAACCGCCCCCCACGCACCCGCCTACCTGCCTCTGATCAAGCTCTTCGCCCTCGACAGGCTCGAGTCCGGCACCGAGTCCCCCAGCGGACACAAGTACGAGCGATTCCGCGCGCGCTATGCGCCGCTGTGTCCGAGTGATTTCCGCGTCGCGTATGGCGGGTATGTGTTTGGGCATGCGGCGTATGCGGCGTCGAAGACGGTGGATCGGGGGATGGTGATACATGTATGTTTCCTTTTTATTTTTATTTCCCGCCCACCTAGTCGGCGGTGTGTGTGTTTGTGTTTTTTAATTGATAATGGTAGAATATCACGGGATCGTTCACGTTGCCCGGTACGGGGACGATTCCGTTTACGTTTCATGTTCGACATGTGCGTGAGGGTGGGACGTACTGTCTTCGTGCGGTGGATGTGTGGCAGCGGGAGGAAATCAGCTTCTCGTGCCTTGTGAGCTTCAAAGCGTGTGGAGCGCGGGTATAACTTCTCGCATCAGCCCACGATGGGACATTGAGGGGAGATATAGGCTTGCGCTGGAGGGTATCAAGAAAGGAAGAGCATCCCTGGGCGCCGTCGGTGGACAGCCCGCAGTGGACGGACGAGGTGGAGCGGGGCGTGCGGAGCGAAGTCCGCTTTTCCGGGACGGATATTCGAAAGGTGAAGATGCAGCGGTATAACGCGAGTGTGGGCGCGCAAGACGATCCGACCAAGTACCGACAGCTACATTTCTACCGACTCTTTGGACTCCCCGGCGACGACTCCGACTCCGACGACTCGTCACCGAGGGATCTCGCCACGCTTCGCGCGCGCGACGAGGCGGGGGAATTTGACAATCTCCATGTGTGCGCGCACCTGTTCGCGTCAGATCGCAACTCGCTATATCTCATCGCGTGGGCGCTGCGGCGCGCCCACCGCATCAAGCGCATCGCGAGCCTGAGCCACACCGTGATCATGCACACGCACGGTCCCGCGATGCGGATGATCGATTGGGACCGGTTCGACCGGGAGGCCGGGGCGGATGGGACGGCGGATCTGGGCGAGGGCAAGGGGCGGAAGTGGTTTACGATTGAGGCGGGGACGACGCGGTCGGGGGAGAATCGCGTGTTGCATCAGGGGCAGATCTGGGGGGCGGATGGGACGTTGGTGGCGACGACGATACAGGATGGGTTGCTGCGGGTGTTTGATGATGGGAAGGGGGTGAAGTTATGATTGTAGATTTGAGGTATAGAGCCATAGATAGCGATTACAAAATGTTCCATATCAGAGCCCAAAAACAAGTTCTTTATTCATACAACGGGTGAAAACCGGATGCACCTTAAACGATATACAACAAAAGTCAGACAAGCACAAACTACCACACCCGATT